TTTTTCTTGAGGAAGAGTGGCCCTGAGCTAACATCCCTGCCCATCTTCCTCTACTTTATATGGGACGCTGCCACAGGATGGCTTACCAAGTGGTGCATCGGTACGTGCCCGGGATCCGAACCTGCGAACCCCGGGCCGCCAAAGTGGAGTGCGCGCACTTAACCACTTGCGCCCCTGGGCCGGCCCCAGAATGGTTTTTAAAAAAAGGAATATAGTTAGCATTGTTTGTAATAGTGGAAAATTGAGACTGTCCTAAACTCCTAAGCTAGGGTTAGACAGAGGCAGCTGTAGTATTTTTACCCAGTGAAATATGACTGTTGACTCCAACTATTCAGGGTAACCAGGTTAGTTTGTACATATTAAGTGTTATATTCCAATGGAAGTAAACTTGCAAGTATTTATTGGATTTATCTTTTCTTATATACTTAAGTCAAAGAAACTGTTCTGTTAATACTTCTTGCCCTTTAAGTCATTTTATTATTGTTTTTCTAGGGCTCCTCACGTTCAGTAGTGAACATGGAATGGGACAAAATTTGGGCATTTAACAAAAAGGTATATGTTTTGACTCTTGGTCCTCCTTTCTCATGCCTAACTCCTGAATAATGTAATACATGTAGAATTCATTAGTGTGCTCATGGTAGAGAAAATTTCATGAATAGTATTACCATTTTGCAGACTTCAGGAAAATGGAATGTTTTCCTTTTTTAACATGTAAAGAGCATTAAGCCTATTAACTATACCAAAGAAATAACAATGATTAAAACAAACAAACTTGGAGTTATGGGGAATGGTAACAGTTTTTTCCTTAAATCTTTTATGAACGCTCTGCATTTCATTTTTCTGCTTTCAAGCTGCGAGCTCTCTGTAAGAAGGTATTACTTAATGCTTTTATTTGCCTTACTTAGCACGTAGCTTTGAGCATATTACATGTTATAACCTGAGATGTTATACAGCTCTGAAGCACAATCACATTTATATAAAAGACTTGCTTATACAAACTCGTTGAAAATGCATTATTCCTAGTTTAAAAAAAAAGTCCTCTGCTTTTCTTAGTGGCAAAGGGAAGATTTGGCTAACTCCATTCTACTGTTCCCTTGTGTACTGAGAGGACATGAGAGTTTTAAAGTTAACGTTATTTCATTGAGTTGTATCGAAGGTTCATTAATTATAATTCCTGTGTCTTACTGAATCTAGCTTTTTTTTTTTAACTGTTTCTTAAATGAAAATCAAATGAGGAATACTGCATATTGACATTGTTAATTACTAATTAGAAGCAGATGCTTAGACACTATAATAAGGCAAATCGTTAAAATGCCGTGTTTTAAACTATGGTTTCTGTGATTGTGTTCTGTACATTCTTTTTTGGTATTGCTGCTTGATTGTGCTGATGCCTTGCCTCAAGAAATAGTTGCTTGTCTTGCATGTGTCTTGAATTTATTTTATTTAGTCTTTTGTGTTCAGTCAGTTTTTCGATACGTAAAGGAATATTAACTGGTTCTTTCTGTTGCTGCAGTTACTAAAAATAAATACAAGTGGAATTTACAGGTGAAGTTAACTTGGTGTACTTTAATAATCCAATTTTTAAAGGTTTTAAGTTTTAATAAAATTATACATGTACACTTAGCTCAAATATGTGAATTATTTCACTATACTCAGAGAGTTCCATAGGGTCTGTTAAGATTACAGCATATTCTTGTATCTTCTTTCCTTCCATTATATCTCCCTAGAGAAATAATTTTCAGCTCTTTTTGGTAATTCTTTTGGTATTTATTGCCCATATATCTAAATGAGATACATGTATTGCTGCTTGTTGATTTTTTAGTTTTAGGCATTGTCAGTTGACTTCCCACAGTGGAAGATGAGGATTTTAAGTCTCTTAACTTTTTCTCGTAACTTGTTAGTTTTCTTATAGTTGATCATCCCTCTCTCCCTTTAATTTGTTTAGTTTTCTGATTCTGTCTTAAACTCTCCAAAAGTTGTCAAAATTTCCTACCAGAATGTTCACACACCTTAGGTATTTTTTCAGTTTCATCTTGGAGACATCTCTGCCGGAGCCTCCTGTGCTGCTCTGATCTGATCTAGATTAGTAGCCTGTTAACTTCTAAAGCCACAGCTGTCTTCCCAGGTCAGTCTTCATCATCGTCTTGGGAATTCCTTTTGCTTTTGTTCTGCAATAGATCATCTGGTTCTTGGATCTTTCTTCTCTTTTTATTACCTTCTTATTTTGCTCTACTGTATCCCTTGGTAGTTCCCTGAGAAGGGACCTGGGATGAATAAGATTTTTGAGACCATCCTTGTATATGACCTGTTTTTTCACTTTGAAATTTCATGATGATGTGCTTTGGTATGGGTCTGTTTTCATCCATATCCTTTGGAAGAACATGTAACTTCCAGTGTGGAAACTCATTCCTTTAGTTCTGGGAAATTTTCTTGAATTCTTTCTTGTTCTTTCTTTGTTTTTTCTCTACTACGCTTTCTTCTCTTTGGAACTCTTTTTGAGCAGATGTTGAGCCTCCTGGACTGGTCCTCTAATTTTATTTTTTCTCTTATTTTCCATCTCATCTTTTGGCTCTACTTTCTGGTAGATCTACTCAACTTTATCTTCCCACCCACCGTTCTGTTGAGTTTTTCATTCATCCTGTTGTTTTTCCAAGATTTCTCTTTTGTTCTCTGAATTTTCAAAATAACTTCCTGTCCCTGTTTCATGGTTATAATATTAATATTAATAATATTTTTTTTCTTGTAACATCTCTTTCCTGTAGGTTGTTTATTTTGGTTTTTCTTTCATATGTTTGGTTACCCTTGGTTATCTGCTCATGTTCATCATGGGAACTAAAAGAGTGATTGGAAGCCTAAGAGGAAGAGTTGGGCTTGTCAACTGAGCTTCACTGTAGGATGACCTGACTGGGCCAGTTAGGTGGAGAACCTCCATGTCAGAAACTTTATATTTTATCTCTTGGATTAGGCAGTTTTTCCAGAGGAGTTTCTTTTAATCACCTGCCTGAAGTGTGAAGGCCTGACTGCCAGGGCTTTGGATCCCAAGGAGGGAAGACTGCTGGGAGCCTTTACCTCCAGGATCTTACATTCACTTCATCCCCTTGTCTCAGTGCAGGACCCTCACCTTCAGCTGTTTCCAGTGTCTGCTGGGATCTAGACACCCTCTTTTTCACAGAGTAAACTTCCATTCTTTTGTGGGGGTAGGGGAGAGTTAGTTGCCTGATTGTATGGAGCAGAGAGGGGTTTCCATATGTTTCTCAGCTTCCAGAATTTTGTTGCTGTTATTTCCTCTCCTATTCTACTGATTCTTCTGGATTTGTGCCTTTAAACAAAACCAGGCACTCCATGTCTTTCTAGTGGGGGTGTGGGAGGGAATGAAAGGAGATGACTGTTTTTCAGTCTGCTTTGTTTATCCCTCAGTCTGTGGGATCTTTCATCATTAAGCACCATCTTAAAAACAAAGTACAGTTTAAAATTTTGATTGGTAGTAAAAAGGAACTCGTTCTGATCATGTACATTTTTTTTTCTATTGCTGGCCTTCCTGCCATCTCCCTACACTTCCTTAACTTTCTCATTCCCTCTGACCCTTGAGGTGCAGATCTCTTGTTTAGGATTCATGTCGCATTGGATCTCTAATTACTGCTTTGTTCCTTTGTAGCTTGCTCTTTCTTTCCAAGCTCTGCAAATAAAATTTAAGTGAAGCATCAGTGAACTGAATTTAACGCCATGGCACTGTGAAGTAATCATTAAGCACAGAGCTAAAACATCATTCCTTGGACTCTCTTCCACTCTTAGTAGCTTAGCAGTTTTTTAAAAGCATCTTCTGCCAGAAGACAAGGGGATTAACTCCACATTAGCTAGAGCTCTTTAATTACATACTTCTTTGGAGAAAGAGCTTTATTTACAGGGTATATTATACATCGTAAAGAAGAGAAGGGAGAAATAGATGAAGGGGACAATGAGATGTGGAGTGGTTAACAATCTCAATATCCCTCTGAAAATACTGTGATCTTTGTTTTCTTAGCCTGACTTTTCATCTTGATAGGAAACTAGTACATAATTTTTTTGTATCGTAATTAAATGGAATATATATAGTTACATTAAAAAATCTACCTTGATACTAGTAGGAGACATTTCAATAGCTTACTCTACATTAACCTCACTGATTTTCTTCTTGGTTTTATGTAAGTGTTAAGATTTAAACTTTTCAGTCAAGGCGGAAGAGTCACAGCTTTAAGATGTTCGTTGCAGAGCTATTATTTGCCTCCATCAACCTTTATTTACTGCTTTAATTTTAATATTTGTGTTAGTGTTTCAGTGGTATGATAACATAACATTTTTTTCCTCAACTCTCATCCCAACCTCCTTGCATCTGTCCCCAGCTAGTAAATTAAAGTATGTAGAGGCTTCTCTCCCTGCCCCCCAAATAAGGAAAGTCTTCCTTCAAATGAACAATTTTTCAGTAAACCCCGATAAATAAAAGGGTAGGTATTCTGGTTGAGGTGTGTTAAGGGGTCTAGCATCCTGTTCTCTTCAGTCACATGCCTATCCTTCCCCTTCTGCTTGGTGTCTACTAGGGCAACTTCTTGAAATCCTTAGGACTTTTAGGAGTAATTTGAAAACCACTGATCCAGAGATTTTTAGAATTGTACAGTTTTAGAGCTGAAAGAGACTTTTTTTGTGTGTGTGTGTGAGGAAGGTCAGCCCTGAGCTAACATCTGCCAATCCTCCTCTTTTTGCCGAGGAAGACTGGCCCTGGGCTAACATCCATGCCTGTCTTCCTCCACTTTATATGGGACGCCACCACAGCATGGCTTGACAAGCAGTGCATCGGTGCGCGCCTGGGTCCCGAACCGGGGAACCCTGGGCCGGCGCAGCGGAGCACGCACACTTAACCGCTTGCACCACCGGGCTGGACCCTCTTAAATCTTTTAATCCAAGATTTCCCCAACTTGTCTGATCCTAACCATCTTATGGAATGCTTGTTAAAAATAGACTTTCAGGCTTTAGTTAAGACCATTAGAATTGTAAATCCTTAGGGTTAAGTGGCCTGAAATTTGTGCTAGCTAGTACCCTAAGTGATTATTATAATTAGTCAAGTGTAAGAAACAGTCTTTTACTCTTTTTGTCAGTTGAAGAAAGTGAGCTGCAGTGAACTGAAGTAAGTTTCTCGGGTTGGGTTGTCTAGTTTTCGTTTCTTTAAAGAAATTGTATGTTACTGGCTTAAATACCGAACTGAGTAGTCACAAATGAAATCTGTGATCATTAGCCTAATAGAAGCTGAAAGAAGGAATCCTTAACCTAGTAAGAATGACCTTGCAACCTCAAAGAAGGAAAGAATCAAACAGTAAATTTAGAGAGAGGCTGGTACAAATTTAGTACCACTATGACATATAGCAGATGAGGAGTAGCAGACAAGGGGAAGTTAAACAGATTTTCAAACTTTTATAAGTGACCCTCTGGGGATGGTTTCTTCTCTGAGTTCATTCAGAATTTCCACAATATCATTCCTTTCAGAAGCTGAAAAATACTATCAAAGCAAACCAAAAAACCAACCGAACAATGGCAACAACAAAAAACCCAATACAAAACAAAACAAACCCAGCTAGGTTTAATTAGCCACACCACTATTTCCTGCATCCTTCCAATGGGAAAAAAATAACTTCTGTTACTTTACTTCCCTATTTAACTCTACATTTGCGTCTGTCTACAGTTTTCTTCCATATGCTTTGTTTAGTGTCTAAACACTGCTGTTGTGCTTGGTCATCATGGATAATTTTAAATTGAACAGTGAAGTGAGAAAAATACATCAGATCTAGAGGGGATGCTGCTACTGCTTTGAAGGTAGAGTAGGTTAGAGCATAATGAGTACCACCATTCATTCAGCTAATCTGCAAATATTTATTGATGACCTGTATGTGCCAGACCCTTGCTAGGTACTGGGAATACAGTGGTATCTATATGAGAGCATGCAGACCAGTAGAAATAACTTGTTTATACTTTTAATCTATAGAATTGCCTTATTATAGTGACCTATGCTATTTTGCTTTTGATGGTGATATGTTGCTTAACACTGATTATAGAAAATGATACTAAAACACATATGTCTATATTCCTTCAAAATGGACTTCTCCAACAGTACAAAATTGGGTATCACGTTTACCGGTAGGATTCATATGTAACCCCACAAGATAATTTTTCCTCACCTTCTAATACCAGAATTAAAAATTATTTTCAAAATATTTCCAATATTCTGCTTTAACTAATTGGTTTCTTTTCACCTGTCAGTAGTTCTTGGGAAGGAACTCTAAATCCTTCACGTAGTCTTCATTTCTAATTGTTTTTCTTTTTTCTGCCTGACAGTTAAATGTTAAAGAGTTAGCAGGTAAACCCAAAAATTAGTAAATGCAGTAACAAAGAAAGCCAGTTACTATTCCTGTGCTATTATTTAATTTATGAAGTTTTGAAAAATACCTGAATGTTGTAACACGAGGATGCGTTTGTTGCAGGTTATTGACCCAGTGGCTCCACGGTATGTTGCGTTACTGAAGGAAGAAGTGGTCCCAGTGAGCATCCCTGAAGCTCAGGAGGAGATGAAAGAAGTAGCCAAACACCCAAAGGTCACCCTGCAGTTTCACCAGTGGTGTTCTCTCTGTCAAAAAATGGAGCAGGATAAAAAAAGGGAAAATGTGTTTTGGTAGCAGTAGCATGGTTTTGGGATCATTTTTTACCCAACATTATTTGTCAGAATTTAATACTAATCGAAGTAAATATTTTTGTGGATTTCTTGCTGAAGAAATTTATTATAGTAATAATTCACAGCATATCGCACCAAACTATATACTCAGTTGGTACCTATTTTTATTCTGTAGAGATAGCATATTAGTATATAATAAGAGTTTATCTCTTGCTGGAGTCATTTTGAAGGATGAGGTATTATAATTCATGCTGTTATCTTTATCTGGAAGGTGAGGTGTGTTCTCTATTAACTAGGTTATTCACTAGCTGTTACCATTGTCTTTAAGCCAAAACATTAGACCTAGTAATAATTGAATCACAGCTTGGGTCCAGAGTCTATCACACTGCCATTTGCTCTGGTTTAGAAAATATCAGTGAAGTGAAAATGATATCTGTCCGTCTAAATTCAGAATATAAATCTTAAATACAAGTAGCAGGAAGTTCTTCTCAGTTAAGCCATGGTTGTTGTCTTAGATAGTCATGACTGCTTGGTTGACGGTCATAAAGCAAAAGTAGGTGCTTTTATTCCAGCTTCGTGAGTTGTCTATATCTTCACTGTATAGTGAAGATTATGTTCATAGACTAACTCACTCATATGCTTATAGTCTAATATACTCAAACCTTACTCATAACTGTGTTATGTTCATAGACTAACTCATGAATAAGATAATATGCATCATGAAGAGCTATAAATATCCTAAGTTGTAGCTTTATATGATTGTTTTTCTAGATATGACATTATCTGTTTTTAAATTTTTTTGAGGAAGATCAGCCCTGAGCTAACATTCGGTGCCACTTCTCCTCTTTTTGTTGAGGAAGATTGGCCCTGGGCTAACATCTGTGCCCATCTTCCTCTGCTTTATATGGGACGCCGCCACAGCGTGGCTTGGCAAGTGGTGCATCGGTGCGCACCCAGGATCCGAACCTGTGAACCCTGGGCTGCCGAAGTGGAGCACGCACTTAACCACTGAGGCACTGGGCCGGCCCCTGTATTTTTTAATTTTAAAGATTTGAGTTCTTTTAAAGGGAACCCTAATAAGATTTGGGGTGTGTGTGTGGGATTGATTGATTTGGCTTTGCCTTTATCTTACATCTGATTGGTTCAACCAGGTGACTGGTGGTATCTGATATATCATATCACCCACTACAGTTGGCTTAAATGTGAAGCTTTCTGAATGGTTTAAAATTTGAATGGTGAGAATGAAGCTTTTTAAGGATGCTTATTTGTTAAAATGACAGCTGTGGTCAAATAGCTTAGTTCATAGTTAAAGTAGTAGTAGTAAATAATAAAGAATAGGTTATAGTTAAAGAACTGATTGATTAGGAAACACTTTAAATGATGACTAGATTACTCACTTTGATCTGTGGAATTTTTCTTATTTCCTTCACAAAATGTTCCATATTTAGCCTTGTCAGTATTCTCTTTTGAGCCTAGCATAGTATAAGTCATTATAAAATGCTGATTTTTCTCAAATGCATTGGTGCATTCATTGAACAATTATTAAACATATGCTGTTTAACGTTTATTTCAAAGGATCTCCTTAAACTTTTTTTCTTTTGAATTCTGTCAAAGAAAAACTGAAATTTAATGAATATAGCATTCTTTTTATTCCCCAGATCTTTTTCATCTTCATGTAAAACATACTGAAAAGGTAGAAAATGTATACGTATATAATACTATCTTTATACTTGTCTTCTAAAGTATGAAAGGTCCACAATTTCCTGCTCAGGTGACATGTGTTTTGTAATGGTCTGCAGCCACTGATCAGGAATGACTTTATTTTCTCCTTTGCTGCAAAAGCAGTGAGATTCTGGGGATAGCAAAGTCGATTCTAGTTGGAGGGACACTAAGTGACAAATAATACTGTCTTAACTCTGAAAACAAAGAATGATTGTTTTAGGCTGGAGTAATCTCATGGGCAGGCTACCTTCTCTAACTCCATTAGTATTATTGGTCAAGTGGCTGACCCAGTGTCACAGAGCTGGGATTTAAACTAATACAGATAACTTTTGTTTGATTAAAGAATAAAATGAATGAATGTATAAATTTGCATACTAGATTCAATAAGGTGTTTCAACCAACACTCTCCTTTTTTTGTCAATCAGAATCCTGATGTTGGCTTGAAGCCTGTGTGGTATAGTCCTAAAGTTTTCATTGAAGGTGCTGATGCAGAGACGTTGTCAGAGGGTGAGATGGTTACCTTTATAAACTGGGGCAACATCAACATTACTAAAATACACAAGTAAGAACTTTTTGTTTGTTTTCAAATAAATATAGAAGAAAAGTCTTTTATGTTTATTCACTGATGAAAAATGACCGAATTCATACCCACTCAAGATGCTGACTGGTAAATCTGCCCAGGCATAGATAGTGCAAGTTGTGGACACGTTAAAATTTTCTTCGGTTATGTTCCAGTTTATTAATAGTGTGTCAGGATATCTTTTGCTTGTGATGTTGAAAGTTACTACATCTTGTTATAAAAAATAGTTCTAATGCTTTAGGTCTCCTTTTTATCATCTAATTCTCATTATACAATTGCTGGTGGAGGGATCCTTTGGACAGAATTGTATATATAACATATTCTTTATCCTAAAATCTACTTTAAAATTGTTTCATGATGAATATGAACTTCCAGTTATTATAATGAAGTACACTTATCAATTTGTTCTTAATGTTACGTAAATGGAATATAGTATGCTAAGGTTAATTTGTGTAAACTCTGAAATCTTAATTGTTCAGTCATTGCATATGATTTCAAGTAATTGTTAAACGTTTTAAAGTATAGTATTTTAGATTTGCTAATGCTTAATGTAGGTGACTTTAAAATTTATAAATATGTTCATACTCTTCATACTCTTTATCAGATATATGTGGATCTGTTCTCCAGTGGATTATTAATGTCTTGATAGCAGGGATTATATTTTATTTATCTCTGGTATATGCTGGCACATATTAGAAGCTCAAGTGAATATTTGATTTTAAATTTTTTCAAAGAAAATTCCTTATCTATTTATTACAGATACAGAACAAAGTAATGCATTTATGGCAGTTATGCCTTCTTTTCTTTAAACACTTTTCAATCTTATATCTAGAAATGCAGATGGAAAAATTCTCTCTCTTGATGCACAATTGAATTTGGAGAACAAAGACTACAAGAAAACCACGAAGATCACTTGGCTTGCAGAGACTGCACGTGCTCTTCCTGTTCCCGCCGTCTGTGTCACTTACGAGCACTTGATCACAAAGCCAGTGCTGGGAAAAGATGAGGACTTCAAGCAGTATGTCAACACGAACAGTAAGGTAGCCTCCAAAGAAACCATGTTTCATCTTTCCCTGTTATATAAACTTTTCTTTAGAATTTTAAAAATTAGTTTTAAGTATTTGGTTCCTCAAATAAAATGGAAAAGATTTTCTAGACTTTTGTTAAAAGAACAAGATGTAAAAGAGTAATGGTTCCATTTTACAGATGAGGTTAAATGTTATCTTTTAAAAATACAATAAGTGTAGTTGTTATTTTAATGCTTCACTGTTTCACTGTGTTTGCTTAAGTAGTAAAGTTGTTAACGTCTTTTTTTTTGGTGGGGAAGATCGGCCCTGAGCTAACATCTGCCAATCCTCCTCTTTTTGCTGAGGAAGACTGGCTCTGGGCTAACACCCATGCCCATCTTCCTCCACTTTATATGGGACGCCACCACAGCATGGCTTGCCAAGTGGTGCGTGCCCGCCCAGGATCCAAACTGGTGAACCCCGGGCCACCGCAGCGGAGCACGCGCACTTAACCGCTTGCGCCACCGGGCTGGCCCCAACATATCTGTTTAAAATGGGAATATTCCAGCTACTGGAAAAACCGCTTGCACGTCAGAGTTGTCTTCAGTGCTCTGATTTTTAAGAAAGTGTATTTTGGTCTTATGTTATCTTTACAGCATGAAGAACTAATGCTGGGTGATCCCTGCCTTAAGGATTTGAAAAAAGGAGACATTATACAACTCCAGAGAAGAGGATTCTTCATATGTGACCAACCTTATGAACCTGTTAGGTAAATAAATGTAACTGAACATTTAAACGAACATGCTTAAAGCTCTTATAGTAAATAGTATTTTATTTTATTTTATTTTTTTTTTTAAAGATTTTATTTATTCAGTTTTTCCCCCCAAAGCCCCAGTAGATAGCTGCATGTCATAGGTTCACATCCTTCTAGTTGCTGTACGTGGGACTCGGCCTCGCGTTGGACGGAGAAGTGGTGCCT